CTTGCCACTGTTCATTGGGTGTCAGCTACTCATTCACACTTGAGTTGGAGTGTTTTCGATGAAAGAACGAACCTTGGCCCAGACGCGGTCGACGTTGGCGTGGTGCAGGAAGAAGAGCGGCTCGTTGGGCGAGGTGGCCGGGCCCATGTCGCCGTAGATGATGCTGTGAACTGCACTCCTCTTAGCATCCCTCCTCTACTCTCTCGAACGAAAGGGGTAGCAAACTCACCTTGCGCGTGCGGCAGGCCCTCGAGCATCGTCACCATATCCCCAAACCCCTCAAACGCATAGATCGTATTCATCACCCTCGAATCAAACGCGCCCGCCTGCATGTCCCCCACAATCGTCACCCCGTTCTCGTCCGCCCCGTCGCCGCTGTTAAACTCGCGCGTCAGGCAGTGCAGCCTGTTCCCCGGCTCCCCGACATCCGGCCAGCCCATGCTCAGCGTCAGATTCGTATTCGCAAACGGGCCGTCGACCACGCATCTCTGGAACCCCGGCACGTCGCTCCCCGTGAACTGGCCGTTGCCGCCGAAGCCCGTCTCCGCGTCGAAGAGCGGCGAGCTCGGCACCGCGCGCGCGTCCGCGTCGATGGTCCAGTCCCAGTAGGGCTGCACGCCGGTGTAGTTGCACTCATTCCGGAGAAGGTCCTCGTGCAGCTGGACGAACCAGCGGTGCCATGGGAGGAAGTTGGCGACGAAGTGGATGCGCGATTGCAGCGCCCAGTGGGTGAAGGTGAGGTCGTCCATGCGCGTGACGACGGCTTCGTAGGGGGCGTATTTTTGGTGCGGGAGGGAGCGGAGGCAGACTGCCGCGCGGAGGTAGTCGGCTTTCTCGGCCGGGGCGAGTTCGCGCCATTCTTTGCGGACGGCGGGGTTGGTGCAGGGCTCGGCGCGGGGGAGGACGGCGGCGGAGACGGAAGTTGTGGCCGCGAGGAGGGCGGCGAGGAGGGGGGTGAGATGCATTATGAAAGGTTGAAAGGAGTGACGATGGGTGAGGGGGGATGGTAGAGAGTGGCGGCTCAAGGGAACGAGGTAACGAGTGTATGGCGAGATGGGGATGAGGTCTTCATCGTGATGATGGGCTTTCCTTTATGTTTACTATCCTGTGTAGATCTTCGGTCTCCAGACGGAGCACTCCAAAGCCTCATTTCCCCATAGTCCGGCATCGCCAGGGCTCGTTAGCGTCGGCATGATCGACGACAGGAACGAAAAAGTCTTTCTCCAGTCATGTTGCAGTTACTCCTTTTCGTGTTGCAATTGTTTGTTTATTATCCACAATGACGAGACCTGGGGTAAGCCAGTTAGAGTTGAAATTAGTCGAAGAAAACTTTGAAGTCTACTTTGAAGGGGGCCACATGTTGAACCGTGTTGCTGTTCATGGCCTGTTTGCGTTGACGAGCATCCGCCGTCTTCCCCCAGCGTCCCTTGAGTTTCGGTCAGGACGAACAAGTTTGCAACATCCCTCTTGCTTGCGACTGTTGTCCCACTTGTAGCGGGGCAAGCCGACGGGAGCTACTATTTCTCGAGAAGTTAGGAAAAATAGGAAGTGTGGTATTAATAGTCTATGCGACTTCTTCGGAATCACGTCCCGCTTGTCTTTGCTCTTCCCGGGATCATACTAGTAACCGCGCTTACCCCAGAGACGGACTGACCGTCGGTTGCAGAGTCTGTCATTATGCACTTCAGCCTCTTTGTCAAGCTAATTGATACTAGAAAGTCTAACCCCTATGCCAAAAATCGCAAACAGAATGTATTGAGGCCGTTGCTTGTTACTTCAAGACTCTATTGTCTGGTCAAGAACGAGCCAACTCATGCATATGTGGCAATGTCTGTGTGTGCTGACTGGGACGCGTACTCATTGCATGACTCTTGGCATATAAAACTCTGCAACCTCTATTAATCGCCATAGACAGATGAACTCTCTTTGCTCGCAACTCCGCGAAGAATATACCAGATCAATCAGGAGATACATGCTAGCGAGGTGCCTCTTCATGACGCCCTGAACAGCCCCCTAAGTCAACCCTTCTTCATGGCAGAGAAGATTATTTCTGCCGCCTGTTCCGCCAAGGCGTACGTCGCGACCTGCAAGTTCGCCGAGACAGAGACCGGAAAGACTGAAGTGTCAATAACGCGTAGGCCAGATACTCCAATAACACGCAGTTCTGTATCTACGACTGTGCCCATCGACGCCGTTCCAGCCGGATGGTAACATCCACTACAAACAAATTAGCAACCAAATCACACCTTCGGGGATCACCAGCAAGGGCTTAAAACATACCCTGCCATCTCCCGCACTCGAGCGTCAATCTCCTCGTCCGTCGAGTCCGCCGTCAACGGGCTGGCAGCCAGCTCACCAGCAATGATCTCCCGGCCGAGCACCGTCTCGTTCGAGGTCAACAGCCTGATGTTGCGGCGGATCGTCTCCCGCGCGGCGTAGCGGTCGACGGCCGTGCCCAGGAAGTTGGGGTCGATGAGCGGCGCGTCGTTAATATCCGCGGACTGGATCGTGACGGAGCCGCGGGCGGAGTTGATGAAGACGACGGAGATCATCAGCACGGCGGACCCGTCGGCCGAGACCCCGGAGTACTGCAGCAAGTGCGAGGAGTGCGCTCTGTCTTGGTTCAGGAGCGGGTGCGCGGCGGGGTCGGCGATCGGGCCCTCGTCCTGCTCGATCGCGGCCTTGAGGCCGTCCTTGGGCAGCGAGACGACGGTCATGAAGTCGATAAAGGCGCCCTGGGTGTACTGAGACTGGTTGAAGATGGGGTTGCCGGATTCCTTGGCGTAGCCCGCGGAGGCGTTCTTCAGCTGCCAGACGGTGGGGATGAGGACGTGGTCGTGGAAGTTCTTGCCGACTGCGGGCTGGTCGAGGACGACCGGGATCTCGAACTTGTTCAATGTCTCGGCGGGTCCAATGCCGGATAACATCAAGATTTGCGGCGTGCGGTAGGCGCCAGCGGCTAAGATAGTCTCGCGGCCGAGGATCTGTGTTCCGTTGGCAAGTTGAACGCCGCGGGAGACGAGGTCGCCCGTGGCTGATTTCTCGACCAAGACCTTGGCAACAAGGCTGTCAGTTAGCACTGTAACCCCTTCAAGAGAGTACCTCAGCGAAGCTAGCTGCCTTCTTCCCTTGTCGCGGTTCTCTTGCAGGTCTGCAACGCCTAGGTTGTTTCCCGCGTTATTGTCAAACTGGGAAAGCGCATCGACACCAAGCTCTTTCCACGAGTCGAGCAGAGCATCCCGCAGGGGAAACACCCTATCGGTCGAACCGGGAGACTGGATCTTGATAGGGCCGCTGTGGCCATGTGCCAGCGGGTTTGTCGAGTTGTCAAAGAGCGTCTCAGTCTTGCGCATGTACGGCAGCTGGCCCTCATAGCTCCACCTCTCATCGCCAACCCGCTCAGCCCAGATGTCATAGTCCACCTTGTGACCGCGAGCCCAAGCAGCTGAACAAACGTTAGCAGCCCGAGCCAACAACTACACTGTTCCACTTGTGCTTACCTCCGTTGATGATCGTGCCTCCTCCGAGACCTTTTCCCACGGGCGAGACGATCTCTCGGTCATCGAGGTTTACCTGCGGTACCGAAGAAAAGCCCCAGTCATATTCGCCGCCAATCGCGCTGCTCATGTCAATCCATTCGATGTTTTCGACAGCATGAGTGTTGGGACCGGCCTCGATGAGCAAGACCTTGAGTGTTCGGTCCTGCTGGAGGAGTCGGTTTGAGACGACGGACCCGGCGATGCCCCCGCCCACAACGATACAGTCCCAGAATTGCATGGTTTTGGGTCCCGGTGCAGACATAAAGACAACTGAAGAGATTTGGAGCCTGAAAAAATGGTAGATTGCTGCAGGTTCGTCGTGTGAAAAGGTTCACTCGAAAGCTTGAGATTCATGGGTCATTGGGTTAATATCAGAAGCAAAACCCGAAAACCATCGGGCTACATGGCACCATGGGAGCGCTGAACAAATGCGTGATTCATTTCCGTGTGATCCGCTCGTGATATCGACCCTTGGAAGAGATGCAGCAAGCTCCAAGTGAGCTGTTTTCTGCATGTTACGCGGCATGCAGAGGTGCGTTTCCTTGATGCAACTTAGCGGCATGGAAACCCAGCTACCCGGACCATTCTTGTCGAGGAAAGACTTGGCATAGTGTGCGACTGCACAGAGTTGTCTGGATTGCACAACGCATTTCTAGTTTCTTACTTTGATCCCGCGACATTGAGACTCAAGCATCTGCTGGCCCGCATCGGCGCACATTGCTTCTTGGGTCAGTGCCGCGTTATTCTTGCCCCCCAATCTCTCTAAACCACCTCATTCCATCGGCCGACAGACAGAAACCATATCTTTCGGATGTGTATATCTAGCTCCCCGGCTCGATCAGAGCATCTAGAGCGCGACTTAATCTCTGTTGGTTCTTCGCCAAGCACCGGCTAGGTTCCGCGATCCGGGGTTTGATCCTACGCAGAGTTGGTTGGTGAGCTGTGCCTCTTCCTGGACAATTTCTCTTGCATATAGACCGGGGGAATATGCGGTTTCCATACCAATCTGGCTTCCTGAAGAGGGCTAGCACAGAGGGTCGTACTCGGTTCCGTTGGTTCGATGTTGCAACGAAGACATGCAATTGTGGAACCGCAGGCTTGTAGTAGACAGGGGTTTGTTGCTTCACCCGACGATTTCAGAGTCCCTGCTTAGCGGAAAACCGGGACGAAAGATTCTGAGCGTGATATGACGGAAGCGAAAAGACTTTCTACTGTTGGACGTCGGTGCAGGGCGGTCTTCATCGGGAGAAGGTCCGCCTTGGCCCTGGCAAGAAGCAAGCATGTAGGAACGAGAAAGACTTTGGCCACGCGCAAACGTACCTCTTAAGTAATCGGTGTGCCATCCCGCGGCTTTTTGTATAAGCCACACAAAGTGCTCGCTGTGGTCGTCAAGGTGATGCATTTTCCATCGAAATATTGTGTCTCTTTGTTACAGGTAGTCACCGACCGAGAAGAGATAACATGGAGGCGATCACATCTCTTCTATTCGATGTCAGACAGGAGTCTTCCACCACCATCACCAACAAGTATCCGCATATGACACAGGATGGGGCATCGCTTGTGGTCACAGCTGGTATCATGATGGTGCTAACCACCCTCTGGACGATAATGCGCCTCATTGCCCGTCAGATCACCGGAAACTCGTTTCAATTGGAAGATTATTTGTATTTCGCCGGGCAGGTATGAATGACCATAAGCCCATTATTCACGCTTTGAAGCTTCGGACTGTCTAACAGACCTTTTCAACCAGGTGCTTTACTACGGCGTCGCGACGAGTTTTATCCTGGGTAGGGTACCCCGCGCCGATGTCCGCTATCGACGATATGAGCATAGAGGAGGCTTGAATGCTGACTTGCGTGTATATCAGGAGTTGTAATCGGCGGTGCAGGACATGACGTTGAGGTTCTGGATACTGACTTACACATCTCCCACTTTGTCAAGATTTTCCTTGCCGCACAAGTCATGTACGCGAGTGAGCTGCTGGCAATCAAGCTAAGCATTATCGTTCTGATGCAGCGGATCTTCTCGCGTAGTAGTACGTGGTTTCGATACACTAGCTGGGTTGCGATCTTCCTGTCCTCTGTTTGGGCGTTGTACACAGCGTTGTTGGGTTTCGTCATCTGCCAGCCAATCCAGAGCGCTTGGGACATCTACATCACCAAAACCGGGTGTGGCAATTATACAGTCGCCTTCAGTGCTGTCGCAATATTCGACATTATTACCGACGTTGTCATTGTGGTCCTTCCCATCAAGGTTGTCAGCGGCCTCCAGATGGCTAGAGCACACAAAGTAGCAACTTGCGTCGTCTTTGGTGCTGGATTTATGTGAGTCGATATCAACCTTTTCGAGAGAACCAGAAAGTGGAGTTACTCGGGAATTGTCTGACCACACTACAGCACCATCATCTTCTCAGGCGTCCGTCTGTATTACACCCTGACGGCGGATTTCGTCAATATCACTAAAGGTTTCGCGTCCGCGTCAGTCAGTGGCGTGCTTCAGTCGGGTATCGCCGTCATGGTGGCCTCGAGTCCTATGCTACGCCCGGTGTTCGACCGCACCGTAGTTCGATGGTTTAGCCTATCAATTGGCAGTGGTTCACGAACCACCGGCACTGCGCCGTCAAAGTCGCAAGGCCCTGCAACGATCGGAAGCCGACCCGGTCAACATGCATCTCATGTCCGAAGCGATGGGTTTAAGCAAATGTCGGACAGTGACGAGAACTTGTCTTGGGAAATGCAAGGTCTGGGAGACTTGAAACGGAAGAAGGGCACACCTCAGAACCGTGCTTTTGTGGAAGTTGAGGCTTTTAGAAACTCTGGTCGCGGGTCTCCAAATGATGTTGGTATTGAAGTCACACGCACGGTTGCTATAGAGAGATAGCAATCACGAACAGCATCAGCCAGTAAAGCCTAAATCATCTCAGCTCTTGGTAGAAGTGGGAGTAATTGTTACAATATTTTGATGTATTTGCAACCGACGAAGGCTAATATTTACAGTTCTGAACTGAAGACACACGCTATTTACAACCTCATGTTCATGGTGGAGTTGATCTCGCCAAAGCGGATGTTGCTGAAAGTCACCTCGGGGTTGGGCTCAACCTTGACAATGGAGTCGGGGAATCCCTCAGTGGCATTGCAAGGGCCAGCGGCATTGGTGTCGAGCCACTCCATCGCAGTCGCGTCGTCCCACCAGATGCTCATGGCCAGGACCATGCCGCGGGTCATGGATTCGCCCATACCAGTCATGCCACCCAGAGTCATGAACTGGTCGGCACCGGTAGCCTTGCAGTAGTCGTCGTTCATGAAGTTGATCTTCGGGGGACCCTCGATTTGGACGACGTTGCTGGTCACGACCTTGCCGTCCTGGATGTACAGGCGGTGGAGCGACTTGAGCTTTCCGTCCTGGGCGGGGAACTGGGTGACGACAGTGAACTTTCTGGTCGTGTCGACCTTGAAGTTGGCGCCCCTGCCGTAGAAGGTGGTGTCGTTGCCACCGACCTTGTACGGGTTCCATGAGCAGCCGGACTTGTCGCAGACGCCGGTCTTCTCGCACTCGTCGCCGGTGCACTGGTACAGACCGGGCTTGTTGCAAGTGTGAGGAGCAATGTGAGTGGCGCGAGAGTTGGCCTCCCAGATGTCGAGCTCATTGCAGCATGAGCCCTTGCCATCAATGTTGCCCTGCAGAGTTTTGTTAGTAAAGATCCCTAACCGTACGCAGCAATCAAAGTACTTACGACTCCGTTGATGAACGACGTCTTGAAACATTGAGCATCGCAGTATCCAGTGCCGTAAGCGGGGCCGGCCTTGTTCAGTACACTGGTGTTCTTGCCTCCATCAGGCAACATCTCAGAGAGGTACAGGGCGCTGTTCATGCCGCAAGGCAGCTTCACCATGTCGACATCGAAAGTGAACTCGTTGCCGGTGAGATGCAGCATCTCGTAGCGCTGCTTGTTCTCCTCGAGCAGATACACACGAGGAGAGACCTTGTTGCCATCCTTGAGGATCTGCATGCGGAGGTCAGTGCCCGAGGTCGTGACACCCTTGTCGGCATAGTCGGTGATGCCCTGGATGATGCAGTTCTTCGCACAATCCTCAGCGTTGGGGCAGGCGGTAATGTTAGGCGGGTTGTTGCCAGTGAGGCAGCTGACGCCCTCCTTGGTGTTGATTTGATGCTGGCTGGAGTCGGCGACAATGAAGTTGGTCTTCTTCACGCATCCGTCCTTGACGGTGCAGCGGAATGTTTCAAGCTTGGGGTGGTTATCGGTTGCATTACCAGGCGTCTGACCGGCGACGATGCTGGCGAGCAGAAGAGAAGCGGAAAGAATGGATAGAGCCATTTTGGCGAAATGCTGTAAGAATGCAGGTGCTGAGTTGGTCAACAGGTTGCAAGAAACGAAGGAATGAATGACAAGAAAATGCTTGAACGGATGAAGGGCTTCGTAACCAAGGCCATCTGATGTGGCGGGACGACCTAGCTATATACTTTTGATGAACTGCATGATGATCAGATGCCGATTCGTAAGTCCTTCCATCATCAAACGAGTTTCAGTCACAACGCGGAGAACTCGAGAGAGAACGTCCTTGACAAGCTTTCGGGCCAAGGTGGCATAGCTCAGGGGTAAAGGGGGGCCACTCTAAATCCTTCAGTAAGGGTTCTTGGCCGAATACCTCGCAAACGGTAGCTGTAATCTAAAGTCTATACTGGAGGCTCAAGTGGTAAAAAGGCTGCGTAGGAAGGGATTTGCTGCCCGGACTATGGAGGACTGGTGAAAGTCCGGACGGTTCGTTGGTGTGCGTTGGCCACTCAGGGGTCCAAAGCCGGAGTTGGGGGCCAGGGAGCAACCTTGCTCTCGGCCGGCACGGATGCCATTTACCACTCTTTCTCACGGATATGTCCGCCCCAAAATCTCTTCCCAATCCCAAAACGGACTACTCCTCCCGCATCTTTACGAATAAGCGCAGTTTAAAGTTCTCTCCTGTAACGAAGAAATTGTTTCCAGAAAGTTTATCGCACATCCCACCCTCAAATACAGAGCCCTACATCCCACCGGCTAAGACATGATTCGCGGTTAAAATGATCCCTCACATATGAGCCGAAGGAGAAAACAGCCCCCACGGAGCCGTTAGCCTCAAATCTCTCATGTGAACATCCTGAGCCATTTGCAGCCCAATGTCCGTCCCATGTTGCAAGTTAATTATTTCCAGACAGTAGATCATGTTGCGGCGGCGCAGACGTGTTCGTCAAAGGTCGGACAAACCGTGGATTCGGTGACCCGCGGGGAAGGTTAGTGACAAACTGACAGCTCCGGCTGCTTCGGATGCATTTGAGGTTAGCACGAGCTGTATCTTCGCCGTCCGTCACGAAGTCGCTACGTCGGCGTTGTAGGTTTTGAAAGCATACGGAGATGGTTAAGCATAACTGCACTGGGCCAATTGCGACATCAGTACCCCATGTAATATCAGCACAATTTTCTACAGATACTCACACACGAGTCAACTTCACGGCACGCAACAAGCTGAGCCTCACTGATTTTGTCAACCTGATGGAGCTCCGCCCAAGATCGGTAGTGGCCCCTGTTCATCCCACTCGGATCTTTCCATCGGCCATCTCGCTTGTGGGTTGACAGACTCTTGGAATCAGCTGTCGGCCTGCGCTAACTCCCCGGCTTGGCACCTTCACTCGCTGAAAAGCATTCGCGTAATAATTCTCATCAGCCCCTTTGCGCAGGCATGTTCGCATGTATATGAAATGTTACATGGATAAGCTAGTCATTAGCTATCACCGAGCCGAGTATTCGGGTAGCACGCAAATCGCCATCGGGTACCTACAAGGGCACCCCGACTTGGGCCTTAAAGAGAGCATTTGGAGAATGAAACATGATCTCCGTAGCGGGGTATCGTCACGAGTGTGATTCGTGCCCGCTTGCGCCTGGAAACAGTCTCAGATCCTGACATTAGTTTCGTTTCCTGACTCTGATGCAGGCAGGTATTCCATGCTTGCTCAACAACATCGTTGACGGACGACCGACGATAATAGCATCCTTAAGAACCAAAGACTCGACTCATGAGGGAAAGGATAGTTCCGAAGAAACCCTGTGAGCCTTCAAAACGCCAAGAAATCGAGGAATCGCCGGCACGTCTGCGAGTAGATACGGGCACATTTCGTTAGTAGAGTCATAGTCAGCAATCTACAGCCATGAGGCTCGGGGTGCTTTACGAATACTGAAACGCGAATGGATGTGCGCCGGGAGCATAAAGCGGTAGTTCTCGTGCGGTGTGCGAAACTTGCAGTTCTATGGATACTACAATCACATCTGAATTGGGATAACGCGCACACCCGCATTCAGGCCGAATTGATGTTTTGGGTCGCAAAGAGAATCAGACTTCAGTTTTTTGGCGGTAGCGGGGATTACTGAGGCTGGGGCGAAGTCCTTACAGCGATCCTTTAGTGTGGAGAGCGTAAGATTAAACCGAATAAATCAGCTGCTAGGATTGTCCAGATAGTTGTCACCACAGACCTTACGGAAATATAAAGGGGAGGATCTGCAAATGGTTCAAAAAGCCAGAGTCCTCTCTGTCGGTCTTGACAGTACGCCGCCAAGGGCAACTCCGATGATTGCGGCGCCGAGTAGTCCACGCCAGTTAGCGCAATGGGCAGAACCAATAATGCATCAAAAGTGTGCTTGCATTCTTCTAGAAAAACGGGCTTGTTGCTGCTGTGATGTGGTGATTTGAGGGGTGCAACCTCACCATCGCGGGGATTGTTGCATTGAGCTAACTTGTCCTGGCCGCCCGGCCGATAGCCGACAGCACGAGCGGGCACGATGGATGATGTTGAACTGACAACGATCATTCAATTTTGTACGGGTGGCACGAATGACAACGGGCGATTGCCGGCGAGATCCTGCGAGATCAACACCGGATGTCTAAATAAGCGTTGACAAGACCGAACGGCCTCCCTCACGTCCCTTTTCAACTTCTGTAGTACCATTATCTCAGAGCTTTCAAGCCTAGCTTTGATCACTACATTTGTGACTTCAAACCATGCGGTCATCTCACTTTTTCCATGCCATCATGGCAGCAAGCGTGGTGTCTTCAGCATCGCTAAGGCCGAAAAAGCCCAACATCGTATTCATCATGACAGATGATCAGGACCGCCGGCTTGGCTCAACTGATTTTCAAAGCATTCTACATCGTGAGCTGATCTCAAAAGGAACTGAGTTCACCAATCACTGGACCACCACAGCGCAATGCTGTCCCAGCCGTGCAGGTCTGTTGCGAGGTCAGCAGAGCCACAATACCAACATCACACATGTTAGCGGTGCAGGGTAGGTTTCGCGGCCCGTGTAGATTGATTCTTGCCGAGACTAAGATTTGGGGAAGAGGGAGTTATGATAAATGGACTCTAGCCGGCGAAGACAACGACTACTTGCCGCACTGGCTGAAGAAGGCAGGCTATAGAGTTGAATGTAAGAAACTCAGTCTCAGCAACTCCGCACCAAAGGACATAGCTGATTCAGAGAGACAGATATAGGAAAACTTCTCAACGGATACAACACAGTTAACTATAACAGTCCGGCACCGAAAGGCTGGGACTTCATCAATAGTCTAGTGAGTTGCATAGATCGACCATCTGGTTGGAGAAGACGGCTGATCTGGTCACAAGACGGACCCTTACACAATGGACTTCAACAACATTGTGATGTCCGAGAACGGCGAGCGACCACGACATTACCCTGGCTTCCACCAAACAGACATTGTTCGAGCACAGTCGTAAGTTCTTCAAATCTCAGGCAACTCCACTCTGACTAATTGACTGTAGTCTAGACAGGCTCGAGTATCTTACATCTCAGGAAAAGACGTTCTTCTTGACGATAGCCCCCACCGTTCCACATGAAAACTACAACTTCTACGCTCCAGTCCCACTTCTCCGGCACAAGGGCCTCTTTCCCAACGTCACTTCTCCAAAGCCCCCCAACTGGAATCCCCCAGATGAACTTCAAATGCAAAAGTCTAATTGGATGAAGAAATTGCGCCAATTGAACGAGACAGAAATAGCGCAAGGTGATTGGCTCTTCCGTCAGAGAATCGAGTCACTTCAGGGAGTGGACGAGATCATTGAAGATGTTGTACAGTTGCTGGAGGACAAACAAATCATTGAAAACACCTACAGTAAGTTTCCGCAAAAAGGCTGGAAGATAAAGTTCTAATGGAAGTGATAGTCATCTACACCACAGACAACGGTTGGACAATCGGAGCCAACCGTGTCGCAGCCGGTAAAGCCACTCCGTACGCAGACGACACAAACCTCCCATTTGTTGTCCGAGGCCCTGGAGTGCCCAGCGGCGTCAAATCTTCTCTCCCCGGATCGCATGTTGATCTCGCTCCAACATTCCTAGAAATCGCTGGCGTCAACCCCGAAGACTTTCCTCCATTTCTCGATGGTTGCAGTCTCTTTGACCAATGGCTTCAGCCTGACTCAGACTACAAAAGCCAGAACCAAGGGGTAGGCAGGGAGTTGCTGAACGTGGAGTTCTGGGGCTCCAGAATCATCGAGGCACCCGCTGCGTCTGAAGTTGGAACGATTCTGAACAACAGCTACAAGACTCTGCGGTTGGTTGGGAATGAATTCTCGTGGTTATTTGTGAAGTGGTGCACCAACGAGATGGAGCTCTACAACACTCAGGTAGGCAACGGCTTTACCAGGATCAAGCTTATTTAGGAGCTGACTCGAGATAGGATGATCCTTACGAACTCGTCAATCTGATAAACTCCACTGACACCTCACTTCAGCGACTGCTCACCCGCCTCAATGCAATTCTCCTGGTCACCAAGTCCTGCACCCAGGGAACCTGTCGCGACCCCTGGACCGTCCTGCAACTGCCTAATTCTTCCCAAATCACGACGCTCACCGAAGCCCTATCTTCTGATCACGACGCTTTCTTCGCTTCTATACCGCAAGTTCATTTTAATGGGTGCATGCAGTACCAGTATATCCCCAACGAAGGCCCTTTCTACCCTGTGGGTGCGGAGGAAGGATTGAGCAAATTCCGGCAATCGACAGATAACTTTGTGGAGACCAGCGCAGTCAAGGTCATCAAGTCGGATCTCACGAAATTTTACGGCGGACCTGAGCAGAGGAATGTGAAGTGGGCCGAGATACTTGCGGCCTCGAGGCCGCTGACGGACGAGGAACTTGGATCAAGCATTGATTCGAGAAGTTTTGAGGAGCGTGATATCCTAGAGTGGTACAACTGAAGTGTCGGCGATGATTCAATTGATAATCTCTGGCAAAGACGCTATTTGAACGTGGATGAGGCATGCCACGGACTCATCCCATCTCCGCGTAACCACGTGGGCTTACCACTGCTCTTATCACTCGGTGATCGGTTCGACAACTACTCCCGTTGCTCCCGAGACTATGATGCATGAGAATCCATTTATTAAGGGGATCTACGCCTCGAATAGCCATATTTTAGACGTCAATTAATATCGAGTCATTCGTACCCCCACTAAGGGATGCTGTGCAATTTAAAGCCAGCACAGGTGATTGTGATGCTGACTCGCACTCGGATGCCGTCTTCCAGAAGTCCGAAGTCCATATTTAACACCAATGCGCCTGCCAAATTGCAGTGACCCAGACGTTCAACGAACTCGAAAGTCTGCCACTCAAATCTACCATCATGAAGATCTCAGCCCTCTTTGCCGTTGCAGCGCTCGCCGTCGCCTCAACAGAAGCGTGCGCCAAGTACAAGGAATGCTGGTACAACTCGCCCCAACGCCAATTGGTCGACACATGACTTACTCTGCAATGCAGGTGCGAGAGAAGCAACTTTGAGTACCAAGGGAAGATTCAGAACAACATTCCCTGGGACGACGACACCACCAAGGCGTGCGCAGACAACTCCGGAGAGGTTGGCTACTACGGGCAAAATTTCAAGGAGTGCTACCGGTACAAGAAAAACTTCTGGGCCTTCATCCCATCAAAGGCTATCAACAACTGTGACTGGACGAAGGTGAGTCGGTCCCAACGCAACGAACATGATTTCGAAACAAGGGCTAACCCGAGCGTAGTCATGTGTTGCTGCTGGTGCCACCACGGGTTACTGCCGCGATAAGATTTGAGCAAGCGATAAAGAGCATTGTTTAAAGATACCCAATGTTAGCATACCTAGTGTTATTAATATACCAACACCCAGCGTTGGCATTTTCTCAGCACATTGTCCTGAGGAATATCAATGATGAACGTTTCTGCGTAACTTGCATCTAACTATTCGAGCATGGGCGAAACCCCCCCCCCCCCCCCCCCCCCCCGACTGCTTCGAGAGCACTAATGATAAATTATGAGCCCTCTGGCCCTAGCGCAAGGAATATATCTCAGTCCACGTCGGATATCAAACCAATGAACAGATTCAACTTTTTCATCAACGATGATTAGGGTGGAGGCCTATCAGAAGTAGCCTCTGGCAAACTTTTTAACGTGACTGAGTTTGGAGGAGTGTGGAATGTAGAAGTGATGCAGCATTCAAATCGAGTCCACGGATTTTCTCTTCTTATTGCATGGGAGATCATGAGGTCCATAGCAGATGGTGGTGTAGCACCTCAGTCCCGACCAAGACTTATCGATTCACGCATTGAAAGAGACTTCAATGAAGCTCATAGCGTCGACTTTAAGAAGGGCTAGACTGGTTTTGTGATGAAGATGCCTTGGAGATCTGGCAGTGGCTGCTATGTCTTTCAAGGTGTCGTGAGTTCTACAAAAAGAAATTGAGTAGAGGTATCGCATTGGTCTGGTCACTTGGCATATTGCGGCAATGATACCCGGGGTATTCGCCCACTTCGCAAAACAGTAAACTTTTGATTTCCCTTTCGCTATGCAACCCAACTCCATGAATGCAAAATCACTTGTGTGCGTACTTGCTCCTTCCTCTCAACCAGGCGCCATACCGTACCAACATTGGCGGTACAATGCAAAGACCCGTAGCCAATGCGGCAAACAAAGATGATGCCCTGTTAAAGTCGAGGGCATCAAACAAAATCCGGCCAAAGAGCGGGAATGATGCGCAGAACAGAGAGCGAGTAAGCGCCAACGCTGCAAAGCTACTAGCCGTGTACGTTTCGTAGCAGTCGGATAGATAGCCGGCCAAGACGTGGTCAAACTCGTTAACCGCATACCCAACCGGAACGAGGGCTAAGGTCGGGACTATCCAGTGGATAGATGCGTATGGAGGGATCGTCCACGCGAACCACCAGAGTCCGATGGCCAGTGCCGGGGCTCCGATGAGATATCCGGTAAACTTCGACTCAGGGGAGACGGGCAGTTTCGCGGTCGCCAGCACGTGGCGGTCGTAAAATCTGGTAAGTACGCTGAGAAGCATACCAATGACTAGAGCAAGGAAAGGGATGTTTTTCCAGCCGTCGGTGAAACCCAATTCTTCGTAGACCATTGGTAATACTTCTGTGAAAAGGTAAATAAGCCCAAACGCGATGGCGCTGATGAAAGCCACCAAGAACACGATTGGCTCGGTGAATAGCAGCCGGAGAGGTCGGACAATATCGAACTTTTCGTAGCTCAGCGGGATGTGCCACTTGCTGCTCTTGCTTTCGGCATCATCCTTAGCCATCGCGTGACCCAGCACCACCGACGGACGCGACTCCTTGATGGTGAGAAAGAGAATTGCCACGACAGCTGTCACGATTGCTGCAGCATAGAACACCCATTGCCTGATGAAGGTTAGTCAAGGCACCCAAAGACTAGAGGAAGTGGTAACGTACCAAGCAGCCTGCGCTGTAATCAACTCCCCAAAGACAGGTCCCGCAAGGATACCAAGGTTGGCCAACAACGCCCACCAAAACATCCACCACACTCGCGCGTGTGTATCCCACAGGTCCTCGATACTTCCAGTCGCAATCACCGTCGGGATGGCAGAAAGGAACCCGCTGCCAAAACGGCCCACCACAATCCCGGCGATGGTAGGGACCTTTCCGATTAGGATGCAGAACAAGCTGTAGAAGACGGTACTGATGACATAGAGCTTCTTGCGGCCGAAAGACTCCGAGAAGGGGGGAAAGACAGCTCCACCGATGGTTTGGCCGATGAGATATCTTTTCATCTTTCTTAGTCAAAGTGTCTGGGGGTAGTGCGAGAGTTGACACTTACGTTGAGACAAACATGCAAGTTGCTACAACAGGACTGACACCAAGGTCATGATGTAAGTGCGCAGCGACAGGCGTCTTTCGAACAGGTCAGCATTCATTCTGCCACGCGCTCCGACATCAGTGGGACCTACTCCTGCAGTGCTGACCATTGTCCTACTCAAGTTAGCACCAGAAGTCTGAACAGAGGCAAAAAGGTTTCTTACGTGAAGAACTCGAGGAACACAATCAAGCTCGTGTCCCACGTCTTTCGAGCGCGTCCCCACGATCGAGGATGAACGCCTTTTGGCGCAAGAGTCTCTTCCGAGCCGGCCTGCGATCCAAGGCCCAGCTCGGCGCCATGCTGGCGTTCGTAGAGTGTTGAAGTACGCGACATATTGGACAATGATGGAACTATCAAAGTCACAGTTCGACGCGACTAGCCATAGACGCAGACGAAAGTGATTCTCGATTGTTGCTGCGTTGTCCCTGGTTTGCGAAGACTGACAAGTTTTATACAAACAAACATACTGAATTTTACAGAAGTCACGGAAATGGACTGAAAGTCCGTCGCCATACATACAATTCCCTCAATCACACAATCGAAGAGTATGAGAATGCGAATGTCTTGGCGCGCAAATTTGTAAAGTCAACTTCATTAATTGCTAAAGTCTACTTTGCACCGGTCGATCCGCACAAGGATCGAGTACTGCTACTCATTGGTTCAGGCGGTGATGGCGAGTAACAGGCCTGAGTATCTGTGCTAGATCCCCTGAAAAAGGAGAAAATGGGCGTAGCACGTCGCTGGGTGTAGGGTTTCCATGGTTGAGTCAGGGCAGGCATTTGCATCGCAAAGCACACGTCGGCAATAACGAGCTATCATGATCCCTGTTACACCCTGTAAAGCTATGCCTCACATCGACCAACTAACTGCACTCGCTGTAACTAAAGCATAGGTCTTGGCACTTGCGAGTTGCGCTGTTTATGGACGAACGAGGGCATCTCCTGAAAAGGAGATGTTCAATACCGAAACCGACTTCACTGAGAGTCTTGCTCAGAATGAAATCTCGCGAATTGTACACCAATTAAGTTGAGAAAACGGGGAGAAAAGACCCCATTGCCGCCGGCACGGGAAGCTCCTTGTTTCAAAGCCTTGTTCAGAGTGCTGATCCCTAATATGATGTGTATGATTCGCAAGTGAGGCTAATCTGAAGGGCACAGAATGCGTTGCGCTCCTTGGCTAAAATAAGACCCGTCCACTCCGCAGCTGCTACGGGAGGCAAAGTTTAAAGTTCATTCCCGGTACGGGGTTCCCGCGCGCGGGGTCGGCGACGCCGAGACACAGCCGCGGAGGCCGTGGCCCGTCTTTCGGGCCGTTTATTACTTTTACCGAAGGCTACGAGCATCTCGGGTTTTTCTTTCTGTTTTTTTGCAATTGGTGTGTGTACGGATAGAAAACAGCGCTCTTTGGGTTGAAATACACTCTGTGTCGCGCAACCCTCTGTAAGGCTTGAGTTTCACGCATGAATTCAGAGACAATGCTTAATAGCATGATAGCAGCAGAACTTCGTTGGGCCCCTGTGTGAAAAGGACAGGTGGGAACTTGGCTATTGGTGACAAGTCTCTACCAAGCCGTTAGGATGCAAGTCGTTGCCAACGAGTTTGCGAAATGTTCGCATTCCGTCAAAATCTATTCGTACTTCCTAGTACACGTGTGCTCAAAGCAAGGAACTCTCTGTTATATGGCTTTGACTGGCTGTGTTGCGGTATTTTTCTAGTTATTGCCTGTCGATCTACAATGCGTTGTCAAACCTCCGTTGCGTCCGAGAAGATCCATGAATGCAACCCCCGCCTTCCCCGTCAGCCCATGGGTCCCATTCACATTACAACATTGTAGCATCTTTTGCACCATTTAGCTTTTTGGCTAAGACATATTCGAAGAGACTCTTTGTGGTTCTATGAAACTTACCAAAGAATCTTTCTGCGTGTCTCGGATTGACTGCGTCTTCTTTTGGCGTTTGGAAGGCTCATAAATGGATCGAATCCCCATCTCGCGTCAATGTCTGACCTCTGTGTCACTGCGACGGCCCGTTCCTCTTGTCCTACGAGGGTAATGCAACGAA